TGTACATCGCGAGCATCCATAGTCGCTCCGTTCTCGCGCATAGCCATTTGCCACACAGTGTCGTTCGCGCCCTCTATTCCACCCATCGCGAAGCCACCTGCACGATCGATGGCCCGCAGTAGCGTCATCATGCTCTTCTTATCCTCAACCGCCAGTGTCTCGAAGCCTACCAGGGCAAAGTCCTCTACGAGTTCTACGATGGCTTTGTTCAGCGCGGAAAACTTTGAGGTCGGCTCGTTGTCGTCCGGATCCACGTCCTCGTTTGCGCCGGCTGTGGTGGGGCCCGGAATGCCGGACGTCTGTTCGCGGTTGAGGTGCGGCAGTAGGTATTGTAGATCCTGGACTTCGGTGTAGTAGTCGAGATTGAAGGGAAGATTGGGGTAGTTGCGGAGGTTATCGATCTTGGTGAGAACATTCAGGTGAGGCAGGTCCATCTGCAGCATGCTGCGCAGGGCGAGCAGGAGGGAGGAAACGTAGAGCGACGGTCGCGAGAGGATGATCGAGTCAGTCAGGTGTACGACGACGAGCTGGTTCATGTTAGCCTCCAGTTGCAAGCCATGGGCGGTGGGCGAATACTCGATACCCAAGTTTTTGTAGGCGGAAGAAGATATTGCGCAGCGATCCGTGGTGTGTGAAGAGCTCGACCTGGCCGGGGCAGTCGAAGAGGACGTAGTCATCTGAGCCTGTTAGTATACTTCGAGGACGTAGAGTGTTGTCGCAAACCTCCTAGTTCCTTCAGGCTCTCTTCTAACCAGTCGAAGTTGTGTTCTAGTTCCTCGAGTGCAAATAAGATTCCTCCATTTGGGCCCAGAGTCTCCTGCTCCATGATCTCATCGATCGTGACCAGGTCTCGGACGTCTACGGCGGGCGTGTACGAGGTGTGATCGTTGGCGGGGTCCAGATTGACGACGGAGCACTTGCGCTCGATGGCGCCCATGAACTGCTGCATGCCATCGCAGTACGTCGACTTGCCTGAGCCCGGCGGGCCTATGACGAGTTGGGCAAAGGGCATCGTGGTTGGTGTAAGCGTGACGAGGGAGTTGCTGGGGAACTTTTGGAGGGGCGTTAGCGCAGATCCCAAATGTTTGGCTTGCGGACTCCCGCGTCTTCGAGCTTCGATCCAGCGCGCAGCTTCCACCACGAGCAGCAACACATACCGCCAACATGTCAAGTAAGTTGCTTATATATCGCCACGGCGACTCTATAGCGACACAGACTCAGACTAACCCAGTCAGGCCAATTCGAGCTTGCGCAAAACCCAACCGAGCCCATCTCGTCGGTCAAGTTCGCGACCAACAACCCAACACGCCTGCTCGTCTCGTCCTGGGACCGCCATGTCTACCTCTATGATACGCACGCTGAGCCCGGCGGCAAGCTGCTCCAGAAATTCGAACACCGCGCGCCCGTGCTAGATGTCTGCTTTGGGCGCGACGACAACGAGGCCTTTTCCTGCGGGCTCGACTGGGAGGTACGGAGAATCGACCTCGAGACGGGCGCCCAGACCATCATGTCTACACACTCGCAGGGTGTTCGCAATGTCCTCTACTCCGCCCCGCACAACCTCCTGATCTCCTCATCATGGGACTCGACACTGCACCTCCACGACCTGTCGCAACCCGGCGACTTCTCTGCCATCCGCCTGCCGTCCAAGCCCTTCTCCCTCTCCGCCTCGCCCACCAAACTAGTCGTCGCTATGGCCAGCCGCGCAGTCAACATCTACGAGCTGGACAAGCTGGCAGAAGCTGCCAAGACAGGCGGCGGTGAGGAAGTGGGCGTGGAGCCGTGGCAGCAGCGGGAGAGCTCCATGAAGTACATGACACGCGCCGTGTCTTGCATGCCAAACGATGCAGGGTACTCCAGCTCGAGCATCGAGGGGCGTGTAGCAGTCGAGTGGTTCGACCCATCTGAAGAGTCGCAGTCGCGCAAGTACGCGTTCAAGTGCCACCGACAAAATGTTGATGGCCAGGATATCGTCTACCCGGTTCACGCGCTCGCATACCACCCAGTCCACGGCACTTTCGCGACAGGAGGCGGAGACGGCATAGTCGCTTTGTGGGACGCCGTAGCAAAGAGGAGGATAAGACAGTACCAGAAGTTCCCTGCTAGCGTGCAGACCATCGACTTCTCCAACGACGGCAAATACGTAGCCATTGGAGTAAGCCCAGGCTTTGAGGATGGCGTCGACGACGTACCTGACGGCGTGACCAAGGTCTTCATCAGGGAACTGAGTGCGACCGAGGCGTCCGGCAAGAAAAAATAGGCATGATGATGTATGTTCACGGCTGTATGGGATTGCAAGATAAATATACCAGTTGATCAATCGAGCTTTAGACGGCAAAAGCCTTCCACTATCGATCCCAAGTTTTCAAATCAACTAAGGTTGGTCTCCGAAATGTGATGCATGTGCTTCAGTTCAATTAACACGTGGAAAGGACCCGCAATCGCTCCTGCACACAGATGCCAAGCTCGCCGCTCCTACACAACCGCCGCGTCTTCTATGTCACCGACTCCAATCGCTCTCCAACCGGCATTGATCGATGCGAAGCGCTTGGCAAATCTCCTCCCTCATACCCTTCCTGATGACACTTCGCTTGTTCTCCTCCCAATTCCAGAGTTCAGCTCGATGGACGATTAGTACTTTCAGAACATTTCTCGTTCGCTCGACCAAATGGAGCATGCCCGAAGCGAAGTCTCTTACGGAATCAGCTTCGCTGAGCTCAGGTCTGTCAATAACGACGTATACCTCCTCTGTCTGAAGATCGATGATCTTGAGTAAGGCTTCCGAGAGATGTTTGGTCTTTTCTTCTGAATCACCGTCCCAGGCGATATGTGACTGGATGTCGTACCAGTCCTGGCCTTTTCGGACTACTGCCGGATTCTTCTCTAATAGCTGGAAGATCAACCGCGCTAGCACATTCTGCAACGTGCTTGATCTGTTGCAGATCTCAAAGGCAACTGGTCGGGGTTGGACTAGCCGGTCAAGTACGATATCCACAGCCACTGGAGATAGCCAGGACAGTGCCACTTCACCGACACCTTCTTCATTGCATCCCGAGAGCATGAGAAGACATGACAAACTCTCTTGCCAGAAGCGCGCCTTGCTTTCGGCCATCAAGTTTGATTTGCATAGCTTTGAGCGATGTCTGTCGTCATCGAAGTTGGATGCTAGCGCCTTGCGATACTGCTCCAGCGAGAGCACGGCATCCTCGGTTCGATAACTCCCAATGTTCAGCGCATCGCGTAATGAAACGACTCTGGTTCTATCCTCACGCTCGTAACTATCTGTTGATGGTTAGCACATCGACACGCGTCATCCATGATATGCGTACCTTTGAGCTCATTCGCGAGTTCATCCACCCGTTGCGCTAGGAGGACGTCGCATCTTATCCGGATACGCCGGAAATTGTCTCTCATGTTTTGCTCTAGGACCTCAAAACCAAGTGGATTTCCAAAGTTGATCACTTGTCGTCCTGTCCCGTCGTCAGTGGAAGGAACTCAACTCTGGATGCTATAATGGCGCTGTACCCCAAGCCGACCCAAGAAAGTAAGTTGTCGCTGCTCGCGCAAGCATGATGATGTCCTTGTAGGCATCAACGAGCATCAACCCTAGTTTTGGCTCAGGGTAGATCTTCCGGTATACCTCCAGGTCTGGAAGACGATCAGATATTTGTTCCATTGCGGACACGATGGCTTCTTCGTTCTTGATCTTCAGCTTCACAGTCTTGCGCGGGTTAGCCATACTCCGATACGGCTCTCGTGATGGGATCCTACCGAGAAAAGCAACGCGAGTGTTGAGCCAGCTACTCCCCCGTATTGAGCGTCGGCTGTTTTGACAATGTCTAAGATGCCAGAGTAGGCATTTAGGAACCTATCGAACTGCACGACGAACCTCTCTGTCTTTGACCAGGCCTTTCGGACGCCATCAGATCGCTTTTGGTCCAGGGCAGTATGCGCTACCCCAAGGTCTTCAGCGTGTTTGTGGACGTAGGTGGACAACACATCGAGTGGCATAGCATTTAGCGACTGCAGCAGATCACTCTCTTTCTTCGGGTCTGTCAAAGTGGCATCACATTTTTCCGGCATGGAATTGAGAATGCTTCTCAGCTCTGTTTTGACTCCGAGCCCTGTCCGCTTGAGTTTACTGCTCAGGTAATTGTTGTGTTCCGCAACGAACTGCGATAAGGGCAAATGCTTCCTATTGCAGTCAGTCGGACTCATAAAATCCACAGACCTTCCCTCAGGGTACGCACACCCACTCAGAATTCGGAAACCATTGCGACACTGGTCTTCTTTCCTTTTCATCTTGCCTGGTATCCATCTTTGAGTTCGTAACTGAGATGCGCCGACTTTCGGGGGAGTTCACTGCAAGGAAGCGACAGAGCAGGGTATGCAAGGCTCCTTCCTGTTGCTACTACCGCACAGCTGACACTTGCCTAGGTTACAACGCAGGTTACCCATCCACATAAACAATGCAGGGTTGCGACCAGCTTTAAGATTCCAATACGCGATGCATATCTGGAGGCTGGGGGCGTACGAATCAGGGTTCAGGTTTTGCGCTTTGTTGCACTCAGCCTTGTGCGTGGCGCCTTCCAAGGTATCTCGTGTTTAGGCTGACACATGTGAGATGACTGCAGCGACAACCCCGCGCCAACCTCTCAACCCTAACCTGGACATTCAAAGGACATGGAACCTCCGTCAGACCAATTGAACGAAGTACCTGTGCTGAGTAACTGGCGATACTGCCCTCCCTTTCGAGTCGCGTCGGATGTACACGACCCTGCATCTGTTGGGTAATCTAGAATTACCAATCATGGCCCCCAATGTCGTGACCACTTCCGGTCAATACCTTTGGGGGCCTCGCGGTTGCCGACGGAAGGTGTCGCATCATGTAGGCAGGCGCGTATCTGGCGTTCGCCAAAGATACACAAAAGGGCCCTCGCTACAAGCTTGCTCGCATTGCGTGTGAGCCCGATCGCAACTCCTCTCATCCCTTTCACACAATGTCGCAGCAGCCTGTGATGGACGAGGCTACCGTTGGGGCAGACGAAGGCCTTGTATGACACATCACGCTCGTGCCTCTGCAGATTCTAATGGATACCTAGGATACGGCGAAGACCCTGGAAACAACTCAGGTCCAAGACCAGTACATCAAGCTACTTCTGAAGAAGATAGCCCTGCTTGAGGAGCGCCTTTCGGCAAATAACGACGATGATCGTGCGTCACAGGTACGCTTTTGAATCTCAGGCTTTTAAGTCTATATGTTGACCGCGGCGTAGAAGAATGACGGCAAATCCGAGGCACCTGTTGAAAAGAATGATGCCGAGGAGGAAGAAGAACCTCGATATGTCATCATTGTGAACAAGTGGGATCCTGACACTGGCGACTACAAAGATGATGAGATCACGAAAAGTAACGAGAAGAAGGAGATTGGACCCAAACCTCAAAGTCGCAGAGCTTTCACATTCCGCAAGTCTACCATGTTTCGACCTCGTTTCAACATAGTTGAGACGGTCCTGTCGGAAGCCCAGATTGAGTCTGAGCCATTGCAGAAGCTGATTGGCAAGATAACGGCCAGGCTCGGAACAGATGAGATGATCAAAAGCCTCAGCTCTCCTTTTGCGAGTCTAATCTGGACGTGGGCAGAGGCTGAAGAGGAAGCAAAGAAGTTCGTGGAGAACGAGACGCCTGAGGAGAAGCAAGCTCGAGTTGACCTCCGCGAGCTCATGCGAATCATCTCCGCATCTTCAGGTATCCTACCTCTCGACCAGTACTTCAAAGAGAGAAACTTCTTCGTGGAAGAGAGCACCATTTCGCACGCAGCTCTGTGGACGCTGTTCCCACCGGGTACCCTGATCGTCTCACATCCCTGCCTGGGCGAGCCTCAAATCTTTACCGTCGATTCGTGCGATTCTTTCGTTCGAGAAGAACACACTTTTGACTTGGTATGCTTCAGCTTCGACTGGACGGGCACAGAGTTTACCAGAGTACCCTTTGAGATGAAGATCCGCCATTGGGGTTCTAATCGAAAGAGCATTGTGGAATTACCGTTCTACCCGCTCAAATATTATACTAGCCCAGATGAACAAGACATCTCGTCGGAAGAAGCAATTGCTCGCCTCAAGAAACGGCTCATCGCTCGGGGAGAGAAGTTTGTCAAGCTCTGCGATCCTGGCAAAGGCAAACAGATGTTTACGTACTCCGGAGATGCACATTTCCACGCAGGGCGTAGCTTCATCGGTAGTAATGAAGACGAGGGAGGGCGCCGACGGCACGACGATGATACTACATCTTCCACTGACACTGGCATTGGACGAAACAGTGAGGCTCGATACATCCAGAAGAAAAAGGTAAGTAATCGCTTGCTTCTGACTACAATACATCGCTTTATAACTTGGCTCTAGGTCGACGGGACCACGATGGTTGATTTCACCTCTTTCTTTGAATACCTGGCTCCCAACACTCCAATTCTAGGAGACCTTTCCCAGTTTCGTGGCCAACTGGAGAACCTCTCGCCCGAGAAACGCGCCAACCCGATCTACAGAGATATGTACAAGACCCATTGGGACCGACACGCCTCTGACACAGCCATGTCGGCAGATCAACTCATGCATTGTCCTCCAAGAGTCCTCGGATACGCGCTGAAGCAGAAGAAGTGGGCGCAGCTGCTGGTGGAAAAGCTCAATCCTCCTAACGACGCCGACGCAAGTGTATTCCGCGACAAGCTGCAACTCGACTCGGACTCTAAAGAGCTGGTCAAATGGTCCGTGCAAGCACATGAATACGGGAAGGAGACCGATGCTAAGGGCGTATCCAAGAGCCTGCAAGATTTTGCGCCGGACAAGGGGAAGGGCCTCGTCATCATGCTCTACGGTAAGAGATTCTTTATGCGCGATAACACTCCATAGTCACTGATCAATTTCAGGTCATCCCGGTGTTGGAAAGACACTAACCGCAGAGAGTGTAGCTCTCATGGCCGGCAAGCCTTTACTTTCCGTCGGAGTATCTGACATCGGAATTGAAGGCGACAAAGTTGAAGCAAACTTGCAAAAGGTGTTCGACCTCGCAGGAAAATGGGAAGCCGTACTTCTCTTCGACGAAGCGGACGTTTTCCTTGAAGCGCGCGGTCGCGGCGAGAACGATCTGAGGCGCAATGCCATGGTGTCCGTACTCTTGCGGGTACTAGAGTACTACGACGGCATACTGATCCTCACTACAAACCGCATGAGATCTTTCGACATCGCTGTTCAGAGTCGCATTCGTAAGTCTCCCAATTACACATGCAGGTTCAACGTTTTTCTTCTTACTGATACATACGCCTCAGACATTGCAATCAAATACGAAGAACTCATGCAATCCCAACAAATCGCCATTTTTGAATCCTTCCTCGAGCAACTTCGCGACAAAAAGCTCGTTCATAACTACAAAGATCTCATGCAGTGGGTCGAGAAAGACAGTCGCAAGCTCGGATTCAATGGCAGACAGATCAGGAATGTTGTGTCGACAGCTATGGGTATCGCATTGGTGGACGAGGAGAATGGGGGGAAGCTGAAGAGGGTACATCTCATGCGCGTTGCCGAGCAGACGAAGCAGTTCAAGACTGACTTGATTGCTGAGGAGGAGATGTATAAGAGGTTGCAGAAGGGAATTTCTTGAGGAAATGTTGCAGCGAAGGTTTTAGTGCCTGCTAGTTGCCCTCCTCCCTGGGTAGTACTCAAATGCGTGTTCAGTGATGGCACGCCCGATGAACTTCCAGAACGATCAGTTCAGCTCAAGTCAGTCATCTGCAACGATGCTGAACCATTCATCCCTACGTGTATCAAGACTATCGCCACTAGAATGGTAAGCCCGTTGAGCCACAGTCTTAGTACATCCACGAGTCGGTTCGAAAAACACGATGAAAGTCGGCGAGGCGTGATGTATCCATGGGCTAAGCCGCTGCTTTTCAGTGCTTAGTGATGCCCAGTGTGTGTTTTGAATCTTCTGGCGAAGGATCTCGGCCTGTCTTTGCCATGTAGAGAGAAGCTTGTCAGCATGCCGCTGAAGTGTGCCTAAAAAATGTCCCACACGGATACCATGTTCCTGGGTTACTCTAGAAACTAGACGCAAACGATTGTTATGCAACTGGGGAATGTATATGCCAAGTGTCTTGCAAGCAGGCTCCGTCAGGAACATGTCAGCTATGAGTCCTGCGAAGCTTCCGCCTGGTAGCGATCCTCGAAGTAGGCAAGGCTGGTTAGTACCTGCCTTCAAGGAAATCTCACATCGTCCGAGATTTAGCTCCATGCGGCTACCAAACAGTTCCAGGATGTGAGGATTCATCTTGAACTGGCTAAGGTCTAGCCATCGTGGTACTTTGGCCACAGGCGTAGACGCTCCGATCATCCAACCAAACTGTCCGTAAGATCTTCGGATGGTCAGGTAAGCGTCTTCGGATAGTGAGTTGGCTTGAGTAATTCTGGCTGGGTAGCAGACTAGCGCATGCTCGTGTTGAGCTCTTTGCGACTCATCCTGAGTCTGATTCTCGACAATGGCAATCTCATCTTCTGACGGTTGCATCCATGACGGACATATGGCCATGTCGATAGGTTTGCCATGTTCAACTGGAGGACATGGAAAGTGAGAGCGGTACTGAGTTGAAAGGATATGTTCGATTGTACACCGCCAAAGACGATTTACGTCCCATGCGGTATGTTGAACCTGAGCCGTCGCTGATCGGAGAATGAGCTCCAAGAGCTCGGGTATGAGGAGGAGGCGGTGGGTAGGAGTGAGTGGACTTATTAGTGCTGAAGCTTCAAGGTCCTTTGTTGCCGTAGACTTTGTCGCTATAGCTTTCGTTGCTACTGTGTGCTGCGGGACAGAACGAGATGTAAAGACAGCTATGCGCGCGTCGACAGCCCGAAGCGTCTGGCTCCGCCATTGCTCCACACTGGCTTCAAGATGTTCCTCCGGGCGCTGAGGGGGCAGTGGCCATGGGATGCGAGGAGGTTCTCGGCCCATACGTTCCTCATCAAGCGCACCAACGTACAAAGCTGCATACTGGACCGAGTCGTAGTCTATGGAGGAAAGGTCTTCATCCGGGAAGTACTTCGCAATCAACAGGTCGTGGGGATGGTAAGACATGGCGAGATGAGTATGAGTGGTAGGAATGGCACGTCTTTATGCTGCAGCGGCGGAGGCACGTAATGTCCCGAGTCAAATTCCGTGCAGATGGATTGCTATCGCATCGCCCCTGCAGTTCTGGGTGCAGGCTACAGCAGCTTCGACGGTCCTGCGAAGTGTCCGACGCGACGCGCTAAGTGGGGCTGGGGCTGGGGCTATCGATTACGAGCAGTCGGCGGTACTTGCCAATGACGCAGCCTCGGCGCTTCACGGTTGTCTACGTTGCATTCCGAGTGATTGCGTTCAAACGCTTACGCCGCACAGCAGCTGATATATATTCATAAGAACTCACGCTCACTCCTAGTCAACTCACAACCTCTCATCTCACCGGTCTTGCTAGCTCATATCCACCGCGACCATGTCCACCCGCGGGCAGTTCAACACAAAGAACCCGACTATCAAGCGCATATGTACGCGAGCATTGGGCTGTGACCGGTGACAAGTAGCTGACACGTGTCGTAGTAAAGGAAGCATCGGAACTGTCGGTATCGCCCTCCTCAGACTATCACGCCGAACCTCTAGAAACCAACCTCTTCGAATGGCACTTCACAATCCGCGGCCCGCCAGAGCCATCACCCTACGCCGGCGGTATCTACCACGGCCGCATAGTCCTGCCATCAACGTATCCTCTCCGCCCGCCATCCTTCCGCTTCCTTACACCCACTGGCCGCTTTGAAGTCAACCGCGAAATCTGTCTAAGCATATCGGGTCATCACGAAGAAACATGGCAACCGGCTTGGGGCGTGCGCACAGCCCTCGTCGCGATAAGGAGCTTCATGGACACGGACGCTAAGGGCCAGCTCGGCGGCATCGAATGCAGCAGAGAAGCACGCGAGCGCATGGCCAAGGACAGCGGCGCGTGGAAATGTGCCGGCTGTGCCAAGAGCAATGCTGACATCATGCAAGAGCGCGAGGAGCTCGTCAAGGAGATTGAGGAGAAGGAAGGCAAGCGGAAAGACGATGAAGTCCCCGAAGAGCTGAGACTTGCCTATCGCGACGAGCTGGGTAAGGAAGGCCAGGACGACAAGCCGGTGGACAAGGGCAAGCAAAGGGCAGTAGAGAGTCCTGCTGAAGTCGCGTCGCCTGCCGCGCCATCAGTACCTACCGCTACAGTACCAGTCACAACCCAAACGCGACCCACCCCTGCTGTACCTACGGCTAGACCGACAAGGACGAGACCCGCACCTCCGCTCCAACAGGTCGCCCAACGTAGTCCCGACCTGGCTTGGATCGATACTTGCATTTACGGAGTAGTGGCCGCGTTATTGTTCATGGTGCTCAAGAGGTTCGTGTGAGCGAGCTATTCCAGGTTTACTGTTTTGCTTGAAGAGTCATGGTAAGATCGGCGCAGTGAAATTAGCACGGGTGTATTGGCGTTGAATATCTGTTCATGTTCGTGGGGTATCACTTTTTGTTCCGCTTGAATTATCTGGTGGGTACTCGCGTGCCATGCTGTTCGAAAGACCTGGATGAAATGGCATGTTCCCCATCTATCCCTCAACCGATTCGAAGGGAGCTGGGGCGCTGGCGGTGCGTGTTCAATGGCATCATCATCGTAAGAGTCGCACATGGGCCATGTCTAGTGTTCGCTTCAAGTTAGACAGGTTGTACGAAAGGCTGGGTGTATCTGAGACACATGAATCTCGACAGTAGGATACTCGTGGAATACTGCTGGGCGTATCTAAAGCACATGTCGTTCAATTCGAATCTTTATGTTGTCACGGCAAGTTTCACACGTCTTGCTATCATGTGTGATGAGATTGGGGTGCGCTATCGTGATCAACTTCCCGAGGTTAGCCTGCCATTAGCGTCTTGGCACCATCTGCACCTCGAGGTCCCTTGCCCTACAGAGTCCCATCCGCGACGCGACCATCCAAGTGCGCTCCACCCCGCTGATTTCGCGAAAACCTCTTGTACCCGCGTTATAGAAACTCGTCACCATCCGTGCACGACAGAAATGGCGCGACTATCGCCGCGTGTACGCGACTGAGCAACCCAGACATGTCCCTGATCCTGCACGAAGCCAGCAGCCGTCTTTGCAGAAGGAATAACCAATATGTCGAAACCCGCTTCAACCCCCCACTCGGCCCGAGTGCAGAAGGTATGCACTCTCTGGACTCATGACGACAACTTTTCTAGAGATGAGATCATCTTCAATGGAGAGAAGTTCCCTGAGTTACCCACCAGTGCTGGTGCACTCCTCCAGATTGTGGCGATACATGCAGACCACACTGTTCGAGACTTTCACACAGGATCCAAGAGTCAGTCGCAAGATGCGACACACTTCAAAGCCGATGCGCTGCACAAGGATCCCAATATAGATAACCATTCGAAAAGAAATCGACGGGATTCGATAACGATTACGATTGACGAGAATGGCTCGACCATTCCCGGTGGTCGCGAGATCGATGCAGAAAAAGCCTATGTGTTTGTTCCTAAACCGCTTCCTGCAGACTTGAAGACAAAGTATCTAAATCTACAAGTAAGATTTACACAAAGTAATCTTTTGCACAACTAATAGCAAGAAGGTTTCCATATCAGAGAGGATCGCGAAGGTATTCGGGTTCCGCAACAGGATGCAGGTTGTAGTGACGGAGGCTGATGAAGATGCTCACGAAGCCCATCACGTGGAGATCGTGTTCCGGGACGAATACCTAGCACGCGCGGATATGTGGCGCATGGCCATTGCCGAGCTCAGCAAGCGTACCGTCTATCGTGGCCAACGACTACTATTCATGGGTACCATCAAGGCCACGATCAAACACATATACATAAATGGCCAATCTGTCCATTCCGGGTACTTCTCGCCAAAATCGAAGCCCATCTTTCGCAGCGAATCTGCACGATACACATTGTTCATCCAAATGTCCAGAGAGATGTGGGATTTCGATACCGAAGGCGCTGGGGAAATCATGTTCAACAAGGTTGTTAGTGGGTTCCTTCCAGACCTGTTCAAGAGATGGTTGAGGATCAATGCGCGACACTTGGTTACCATCATACTGTTTACGAGGATGCAATATGACGGAGAGCTCTTGGCAGATCAGCCCGAGGGGACGACGAGCAACATGTCCTCGGAGTCGCATTCTGGCACTTTTAGAGATTACTACAGAGTGGTCGTGAGCGACATGGCCAGCGGTGATTGGATTAATATCCTGTATCAGCTCAAAAAAGAGTTCAGGATGTTTCTCCGAGAAGTATCTCTGGTCCGTAAGCCAGTAAAGCCTGTTTCTGAGAACGACGAGTCAAGCTCCGAAGACACAGCTACTGATATTGTCATAGCTGGTCGACCTTCTTCCGCAAGCCAAGGTAATATCCTGGAAGCCATCAATCTGGCTGCAGCCCAATTCGCGAAGGATTACATCGATCGAGACCTTGTTCGAACGGGTATCTCAGTCATCGTTGTTACTCCAGGTACTGGCGTCTTTGAAGTCGACTACAACATGCTCAAACTTACTACGGATACTCTTATTGGATCAGGTATCGGTATCGATCTT